AATAAGAGACTGAACAAAAAAACTTAAAAGGAAAAACTAGGAAATAAAACATCTACAAGAGATGTGAAAACTTTTTCCTGGAACTCTACTAGGCAACACACATACCCATAGCAGCTTCCATGCTCCCCCAAAGACTTGAAAAGGCCATACACTTTCACCTCTGGTTGATTTCATGAACTCCACAAGGAGTAACTGAACACTAAGGCAGACCTGTGAACTGCCTGGCTCAGTTTTTGGGTTTTTTTCATCATTTTTAATGTAGGCTCATACAACTCTTATCACAATTCATACATACATACATTGTGTCAAGAGCATTTGTACATTTGTTGCCATCATCATTTTCAAAACATTTTCTTTCTACTTGAGCCCTTGGTATCAGCTCATTTTTTTTCTCATACAACTCTTATCACAATCCACACATACATCAATTGTGTAAAGCACACTTATACATGTGTTGCCCTCATCATTCTCAAAACTTGCTTTCTGCCTGGGTTCCTGAAATCGGCTCCTCATTTTCCTTTTCCCCCTCCCACTCCCTCTCCGCCCCGCCCCTCGTGAACCCTTGATAATTTATAAATTATTATTTTATCTTATCTTACACTGCCTGGCGTCTCCCTTCACCCACTTTTCTGTTTCCCATCCCCCAGGGAGGAGGCTATATGTAGATCCCTGTGATCAGTTCCCCCTTTCTACCCCTCCTTCCCTCCTGGTATCACCACTCTCACCACTGGTACTGAGGGGTTCATCTGTCCTGGATTCCCTGTGCTTCCAGTTCCCATCTGTACTGCTGTGCATCCTCTGATCTAATCAGGTTTGCAATGTAGAATTGGGATCATGATAGTGCAGGGGTGGGGGTGGGGGAAGGAAGCATTTAAGAACTAGAGGAAGGTTGTGAGTTTCATTATTGCTACACTGAACCCTGAGTGACTCATCTCCTCCCCGCTACCCCTCTGCAAGGGATGTCCAGTTGTCTACAGATGGGCATTGGGTCCCCATCACGTGCTCCCCTCATTCACGATATGATTTTTTTATAACACTGGATTAGAAAAAAAGACTATATAACACCTTTATAACACTGGATTAGAAAACAAGACTATAATATATTTTATAATCCATGCTATATCAGGTTTATCTCAATAGAGAATATTTATAAGACATTTGACATATGGTAATAAATCAGATGATATACGCTTATTCGACTCTTCTTAATCTAAATGTCATGCTAAATTGGAATCTGAATAAGAATCAAATCTGATGTAATCCATTCTTCTCTTACCTGGCAGTGTTGTATTTCATCTGTCAAGACATGGATAACTGATTGGGGCCCACCTTTCACACCAAACAGGTCCAGCTCATCTAATGCTTCTAGGGCTGCCTGTGAGGAGCAAAGAAGAAAAGTGTAACTTCAGCCTTAAAATATATAATATATACCCACATGTGTTTCTAAAGCCACATACATACAAAAAAATCTCTCCCGTCTCCCAGGATCTCATCATTGCACAGAATGTTATTTTTTAATATGCTTGCCAGAAAAGAATATACTAACAATAATTTTAAACTATAATAACAATACTTATTTCCCCAGGGAGCTCTGAGACTTCCTTTGTATTTCACATTATCCTAGAAATAGAGTTCATGAGGTGGAGCTTATATCATTAAGTATCAATCAATTTAAAACATGGCACAGATGAATTTATTGTAAACTATTCTTTTGATAGGAGATTTCCAAGAAAGATACCAACATATAAGAAAACCCAGAAGTTATAAGACTAGAAGGTATTAATGCAACAACCACTAGGTGTTACCACATAACAGTTTCCATTAAAGAGTGAATGGGCTAGAAAGATACTGCAGATATTCCAGGTCTGGGAATTGATTGAGTGATCATGACTGTCTATTCTGCTGTTCACCTGATCTACTATTCTTTCGCCTATATAGATCACGTAAATATTTAGTAGGCTTCCCATCTATTTCATTCCTAGGGACACCGTGGCTAAGTAGCCAATGCCATAATTCCACGAGACAGGTTGCTTTGATTACTACTGAAACCTTGTTGTCTATTATAACCACGCCCACCCTGTCTCTGTTGATTCAGTGCTGACACCTGACCTCTACCATCACGGGGACCAATGAGCCCCATTGTGGGCAAATGTCAGAGTTCGCTTGGGGCAGTGCCAACTGTTAATCCTGGTGCACATAAAATAGCAATTACAGGAGTCTTAAGAGATGCTGGGGCCCACTTCACAAACTTGTTCCTATGG